AACTGAGGTTTCTGGTAAGACTTGAGCTCTCACCAGCGAGCTTAGGTAATAAACGTTGTCGATTCAGTTTTTGACAGAGAAATTGCTCAGAGTCGTATAAAAGATTAATACTTGATTACTTACTAGTATATATATATAAGGGCTACGAAATATTCCATGCTCATTCACTCTCATTTTTCACAACACTGGTTAGAAAAATATTTTCTCGGTTAGGTGAACTTCTTTGTTGTTTACTTGAATGATTTAACTGACCATTTTAAAATATCGATATTTCATACTATCAAATCTATTTTGTTGATCATATATCGAATTCAATTATTGGTCAATCCCATTATGGTCGTAATCTGACCAGTCAACTCTAACTTTGGTAATAGTCAAACATACATAGCCTCATTTATTATCTCTGAGAAAATCAGTCTAAAATCTAACAAAGTTGATTATTATTTCATACTTGCATAGTAATAGGAATTGCTTTATAATTGAGTGACTATTGCTTAAATAGTTAGTCTAAATTCTAATAACCTTGGAACAATATTCTACTAAACAAATTTTTGACTGTAAAATGAATCTTCGGGACTAAATATAACTAGAGAGCTTGGTTGTATGGTTTGTTTAGATTTATTCAACCGGAAGATAGTTATGATTACGGACTGATGTCTGCAGAAGAACCTTTGAAAAAATACGGAGTAACAGTGTGGTTTTAAGTCAGAATTTCTGATTACTCATCAATACGCACTAACTATTTCATACGCGATTCAACTACAAAATATCAAGTCACCTGGAATTCGGCGGTTCAGTAGTTTCAACTTAAGCCCGTAGATAAATCAGCACCGAACTAAAATAAAGTAGCTGACTAAAGCTCCTTGGTTTGTGACGGTTCACTAACGAGAACTACTTTCAAATTGGTTCACACCTCTAGTTCTTCTGACTGGACAATAATCGTTTGTTCTTTAGTGATGAGTTTTGATAGGACTTTTCTTAAGTTTCAAGGGGAAGCCAATAACACATGGAATCAACTCAGTTAACAGTTAGATAGTTGTCATCTATAGGAGTACGATATCTCTGGCTATGTCCTGAATTAACTAAATTTAGAGATTTGGGGCAGTAGATTTAAACTCCGTGGTGTTAGGTTGTCGTAATAGTTGGATGACAAGAAAATCCTAGTTTAAATTTCGTATAGGTTACGTGTAAACTCTGTCAGGGAATTTTAAACAAAGATAGTTTAGTTGTATATAGCCAGCTGTTCTTCATCAGATCTCCAGTCTGTAGCGAAAATTAGCCTTAAGAGAAAAAAAAAATTATATCGAGAAATGAATGTCTAATTGTGCTTAAAGCCTAACTCTTTCATTTTACTATAGTTTCAAGATGAAAACAGGGTGAAGTGTACGATGATGCTTAGTAAATGAACAATCCAATATGTAAATTCAAATGATAAAAATACAAATCTACTGTCTGAAACCACGAAACTCCATAGCCGTTAAAATTCACTTTAGTTCACAATGAAAGATCACAGTTGTGAGAATACTATCTAATTATAGCGGAGCACACTTTTTAAGCATTCATGTATGCTATTGTAGTTTATGTGAAATAACTATTTATTTAATTACTAGTTAGATGCTCTTGTTTATTAAGGTTCTAGGATCAGTTTATGCAAGTTTTTTTTTTGTTATGCAAAGTAACACCTTTACAAAAACATTAGGCTACAATTAAATATTACTCGAATCATAATATAAATGATTAAAACGGATCAACAAGATTATAAACTACTATTCTAAAACAATCCATAATATTAATTAAAACAGACAAATAATACTAAGGTCAATATTATTTGTCACATTATCGTGTTTTATCGAAATACACATAAATAAAGTTTATAGAATAAAATATATTGAATAAGATTTGAACATTTTTTCAACTAACGGATCATATGCTTTCATCATATTTTTCTGTGTTCACTTAAATTCTCTAGAATAAATCGTATCATTTCTTTTGTTTAATGAAATGAAACAACAACTACACAAAAATTTGTAATAGATTCATTTTATTTAACTAATTCTTATTATTATCTAATTTCTTCCTGTTATACAGATTGGTAACAATTTATATTAGTTACTTACCAAGTTGTATTAATGTATTGAAATATGATTCAAATATCTAATGTTGACTGATCTTTAGTGGGTAGAGCAATTATTTGTGAAATTGATTTTGTTTAGTTTGTAAGTTTTATGTTCATTCTTAAAATAGATTAATACTTATGTGATCAATTCTAATGATCTAACCTTTAGCTATTTGAAAGTCGAATCCGAATAAATAAAATGAATAACTATACAATAACAAAATAACTATAAAGCTATGTAGTCCTATTTGTGAATATTCAAAGTCGAATTGATCAGTCTCTATTAGCTTATGAGTGTTATTAAAAGATGAACCGAATTCACGTATTAATTATATTTTGAACGGTGATTAATAGTGGGATCCACGTGTGTCACATAGTTGTGATTTTCTCCAGCTAGACGTACCTGAATCCTAATGTTGTTATTCACAATCCAACTCTAATTCAGTACCTAGCCAATTTAAATGCCAGATTTCACTCACCAGGCTACTAAATCATCATAACTATTAATATATTCAACGGATACTGTTAATTATGAGGGCTTGGGTTTTCCACTTTACACTGATTAGTAAACGATTAAGCGGAGTGGCAGTTAACAGAAAAATTAGCAAAGATAAATATACCTCGTGGAATTTGCACTATTGAGATGTTAGGTGGTTGGACGCAGTCAACAGGAAGCCTAGACATAAGTTTCGTTCTATTCGGGACTCATCAGCAAGGCATACCTGTAATCTAGAGGGAGTTGGTGTCCTTGGCGGAATCGATCTCGTGTCAACGAACCTCACAGTCTGTTATCAGTGAGCTATTCGAGTCATAACTAACCTTTTGTAGGGCTGAGATATTTACAACTAATTGATAACTGTGTATTTACCGATCAAGTTGCAACCTTAACGATAAAGTTCGACTACCACTAAAAAGGATTAGACAGACATGATATCGGCGACTACTCATTGAAGAATTAATTGTATATACTTAATATTGTTTTTGATAACAAATTCAGAGTTGATGCTAACATTTTCAGTGACAATTGTTCCAATTAAGCTTTTTGTTTAACTTGAAAAAGGAACAAAGCAAACAATGACCGTGGAAATATGATTTAAATGAGTTGTTGGACAGATGATGATCCCAATATGGAACAAATTGCCTCGATAACTAATAAATTTGTAGTCAATAATTAAACACGAATGTCTAGAGGTTAAGCGTTCGTGCGACGGGCAGCCTGTGCTCCCCCATCAGGGGTAACAGGTGTAAATATTTGCCGTCCTAAACTCAACAACAGTCGATTTACATAGATTCATCCTTCATAAATAATTTTTTCAAGAGGTAACACGCAATGGTTACATTAAACATATTCATTTACAAAACATATTGTAAAGAATATCATATCTCCCTAGTAACTTTTTATTGTTGGTCAATGCTTGCTCGTAAACTAATAAAGACCAGAATTAAAACGTCTCATCAATGTATACTCATGGTCGCATAGTGAATAAAAGAACCTAGGACTGTCAGATATTACACTAGTCATGATACCTTTCACATATGAGATGGAATACAACAATGTATTTTTTCAACTAATCAGTTGGTAGTCTACTATTCTTCGATTTCCCTAAAATAGGTTAAGACCATTTCTGTTAATTTGCCTGCCGTGATTCAAACGAAACAAAACTTGTACATATTCTATGGTAATGCAAAGAAAATGTTCTGTAGATTAAATTCAAAACCTAATAACCTCGATCGATATGCATTGCACTTTTTTATGTGTCGATTTCTATGCTTAATTTTCTCAAATATATTTTCTAATCATTTTAATAATAAACAATAGAGAAAGTAATAATAATATGAATAATAAACTAATATATTTATCGTTATTCATTCAAGCCTCTTGCATTCTAACTTAGTTTCATAATCAGAGACAATCGGAACAAAACATTTGATTCCCAAGACCTCTATGCAATTGAAAACAGCCATCTGATACTTGGAAAAGTACTCAGTAATCACCGAATTTAAGATCATACAACCCAAAAATTAATTAATGACTCAGTTAAAGCTCAACCATTAGTTTTCATGGAACACTGATGCACTTCCGCTAAATATCAGATTTCGTAACAATTCTTCAATCACTCATACTTTGATGTAAATGCCGAATTTTTTCGATGTTATGTTTTACAAAAGATAAGCCTTTTGTGATTTATTTGTGTTCATAGGATCTACAACCAGGCTGAATACGATGGAATTATTACGAGTGTCCTGCTTACCAATGAGGAAATTAAAGGTTATATAAATTTGAGAAAAGCTGTATTCGTCATATAACCAGATGGATTAAAGTTATACATTTAATTGCATTTTAGTTCTAGTTTGCAGTTAGTAGCACAAAACCAGTATGCAGGGTTTCCTGTCGACTGCCTCAAACCACCATCTAATCTCAACATAGTGCACGCAGTGTCGAGTCACCTAGACTGGTGGACACATTGTAACATTGTCGATAGCATTCGATCTGCACTAAGAAGGACTTGACACACATGAAATTGATCACCACCCAGTGATCAATCAATTGTGAGTAAACGGGTGTCTATTGACACTTAATTGTCTAAGCACCATTGAAAGTCCAGTCATCCGTCAATTTGCCACTGACCATGATAGCAACTAACCTCAATACCTACTGGTATATACATCAAAAGCATAGATTTGCATTAAATCAAAACAGTCTGCTTGATGAAGGTATTCGACTAGGTGCCTGGTTGGCCATGGAGGTAGCAACTTGATTCATTAACATATATCATCAGCTGCTTATCTAACCACTTCCCCAGTCCACAATCAACAAGTGACCAAGCAGAGAAAACCAAATCGAATAGAAGTTTTACATATTCCTCTATAGCACAACAATAACTCCACTTCTTGATAACAATTTATTAGCGAGTCAGAAGTCGTTGTTGCACATAAAATATAACCAAGAAAACACACGATGTTTAGAATGCCAACTTTATTCATAGGACAGCATAAGCGAACTATCACGTTAGGATTGATCGAGAGAAAAAGCTTTTGTGAAAGAACACAACCAGTACAATTTTAGTGTTGAGCTAGATCACTAGTACTCACCATAATGTGTGCTAAATATGTACAATTTTCAGGTGAGGAAAATGAAAACTTGACTAAGAGTACAGGAATTATTTAATTAATGGCAGCAAAGAATTGATTGTAAATACGACTATAAGTAAATGAATTAGAGTATTAATTCTATTATTTTACAACTTAAACTAATTAGTATTTAAATGATAAATAATTTAAGATTGTCTTTTTCCCAACAAATATGAAAAGAAAAGAAGAGATTTAATCGTCTTTAGGTACATTCATAAAAAGATAAGACATAGATTCATCATTATAAATACGTCTGATAGCTTCCGCCAATAATGGACTTATATCAACGGTACGAATTTTGTGACACTGCATTTTTTGTACTTCATGTGGTACTGTGTTAGTTACAACTACTTCATCTATACGACTTTCTTCCAATAGACGTGGTGCATCTAAACTGAGCAGACCATGAGTTGCAATAACAAATATCTACAAATGACAATAAAATAATTTTAGAAAATAAACATTCTCCAGCTGAACTACACAGAGAAGGAAAAACAAGAGAGGGCCTTGTTCATAAATTCCTCAGTCTAATTTGTCAGGAACCTTCGCAATTTCATGAAATAAATGGAGAAGACAGTCATTTCACCCAGAGTTTCGACTGATTTTTAGCATCTAGAGAACTAGGATAGCTCAAGAGGATAGGTAGTGGTTGGGCATACGTATCATCTAGGTCGATGAATGCTAACAATTTTATCAACCGATCTACCAAAAGTGCCAGATCAAAAACAAGTATGACCTGTCCATAATGCCAAAAAATTACCAATTTGTTTTCTGATAACTGCTGTGAAATTAATTTGTTACTTGAATATAATGTGCAGGAGTCCGCTTTGTATTGTTTGATGGAGGTAAAGCATGGCACATGAAAGACGACATCTATATAGTGATTTTTTGTCACAGGCATTTTCGGACTTTTGCTCCAGTATAGTGGTTAGAGCGATTAAGCAATACTGAGGCTAAACATAGGGTTGTGAATCCTCATTAACTGAGGTAGTTGGAATATGTTTTGCATATGCATAGCTATCGCCTACCTCGAGGTACAATAGACCATATACGAATAAGCGTAATTCCATGAAATAAGTATTAGTCTGAGCTATATATTTTAAGATCCAACCCACCTAGTTGAAGGTTTTTGTGATAACAGAGACAAATAGTTTGAAATCCTGAGTGACATTGTTTGGAGTCGATAACAGTACAACCAAAACATCCACTCTTCCATTAAATCTAGAATCCAAGTGCTTCCTCATAAGCATCTTTTCACTCTTTTCGAACTATATTTTCAGTGGTAAGTCTTCCTCACTACCGCTGAGAATACAATTATTTCTACACCATTGGTATTAATCTTGTTTATTTCATCTCGTCATGCTGACGTAGAATGGTAACTTGGCCTCAGGTACATTTATGTTCGATCCTACGTTGATTCTGACAATGATTGATCTAACCAATAAACACCAAAAGTCGAAATTTAAATGCCTGATAAACCATCATTTTGTTAAGAGTAATCTAGAACTGGTCTGATCAAGAAAAGTAACAGTTACGTTGTATATAAGTATGCTTGTTAGAATTATTGTGTGGTGAAACATTTTTTATTGTACAATGTCACACATAAAAGGGGATAAGTTGACTCCAAGTAGTTATGTAGTTAGCAATACTTCATTACTATATTAGAAATATGACGAACACTTATATGAAAAAATTTAGTCGACATCTTGAAAAGACTCGATTAACGGGATCCTGGTGAATTTCTCTAATGTACGTGTACTACTTCATCTATAATTTAGCTTCCTAGGCTGTGATCAGTGAAACGCTTAGGATGGTACGATTAATGTTGAGTTGAGGTCGAGATAATATTAACTCCTATTGGCCCATCAATACACACTCGTCCTGAGTCTAATAAAAAAAAACAGACAAGCTTTTATTTATGTTTCAAGCACCCAATATATTTATCCTAAACACTCATTAGTTCACATACATGATTATCAGACCGGAAAGCACCTCAATTAAGAAGTCATTGTTTACAATATAAACATCCCATAAGTGTCAGAGGATGGAATAAACGTCTGATAAGTCAAGGAATAACAAAACGTGTAACGACAGTTGATACATTTGAAGAAATTCCATAAAAAGGTAATATAAACATAGTAGTTCAGTCATTTAATAAACCCACAGTGAAAATATGGATAACAGCAATCTGAATAATCCCAAAAGTCCTAACTTATCTAAAACTCGTTTCGTCAAAATACAAGCTAACAAATATATCTTGTGATAGTTATTAAAGTTCGCTAACGTTTAAATTTTCCTTTGTGAATGAAATTAAGAACACTTAAAAGCCTAAAAATTGTAACCCCTACTTGAAAATTAAAACATATTATGCCTAGCAATTCTATAAAATTAGCTTATAAAATTACTTTTAGTTAGAATAACTAATAGCCGCCATAACTGTAAGGCTTTAGCCTTTAATATACATTGGTAAACTGTAATAAAAACTTACTTTATATGCACCTCGTTCATGCAGTAGCTCAGCAGCAGTAACAAACTTTGATACATCATCTATAATGTCGTCAATTATAATAGCGATTCTTGAATTCACATCTCCAACCAAGGTTAAAGGTGGTTTAGCTTTAGGTATCATCATAGGTAAAAGTTCAAGGCCAATTTGTGTACATCTACAGATGATAAAAACTAAATTTATTCAGTGTTAAATGCGAAGTGTATCCTTTATTTTGTGTATTCAGATTATCGTATGATTTCACTTTTATCACTCTACAGTCACTTCGTTTTGTGAAATAGATCTTGCAAGACCTTAATATGATAATCATTCTTGTGTTATAAGTAATACGGCTGAAAAGGATTTCAGTTTGGGATTGGATAATTGGAAAAAAGCCTGAAGCTTAGATGTATATTTTGGCAACTCAAAATCTACTTATTTACAGCTGGGGTTATTATTTTGGGAGACATTCAACCAACGGATTTAATCTAAATGGTCCGTTTCATCACGTAATACAAGTGTAAGACAGGATACAGAAAATAAATGAGCTACATATTCAACACATAATAGGCATCAAAATAATACACCAGAACTTCGGGTTGACCAGTGCCAAACCAATTGTGCATTCACTTTGATATCTTGTGGATTAACAGTCCCATTAGAGATGATAGAACTTCCAAAATTCAATCTTTAGCAGAGTTGACCACTCGATTGCTTTCCTTTAAACCCGTGGGTCAACCAGAGTAAGTTCCTGAGTAAAACTTCTTACTAAACATGCATAAAACTCATGTTTACAGTTACCCTATCAGTAAATTTTATGATATAGAAAATGAAATCAAGGCATCTTTTCAGCCACTTAAACTGTCTACACCTGTTTAATTTGAAAATGCTATCCAAAAAGAGACCAGAAACCAACTAAAACCAGTCTACAAGGAGTAGAGATAGTTCACGTTAAAACAGAACTCGGACCGCAGCTGAGTTCGCACCACGGACTTCATTTCTATTGATTATTCGATGTCTTTTTTAGTAAAAATATCTAAACAAAGGGACTTTAACCAGTACTTGATAATTTTTTTGAAAATATATAGTGCACAAGTCTGTCGCATTGTCTGTGGATCTCTCATTAGTTACATTTGATAACTATTATGATGAACTGGTTAGTAATAACACATTTTCTGCCCTAGTAAAACCATATTTTTGTGACTATCCTAAGGTGTTCACGTAGGTTTCTTAAAAAACGAAACCAATTCTATGCCAGTAATGAAAATACGTAAATGCTCCGAAATTATTTGAATTCACTTAACTGTAAATATGAGGTTCATTCGCCTTTATATATTCATTGCATAACACCATAGTTTTATTTCAATCTCCACTTTACAAAAAGACAAAGGAACATGTATAGTATAAAGAATAAGTAATCAGTAGATTTTCTGAATATTTCGGCATAATTACAAATATTGCAATGAAGAAGCAAACGCTTGCATAACAAACCTTTTTTCCACAATACTTTGATCCAAAGGTGGGGAATTGCGACCGTCAGTATTGTCACTTTCATCTCTTTCTTCGCCATGAATAACAACTAATGGTAACCTCAAACGTTCAGCATAACTGCTAGCTCGAGGTACTACTCCGGGATTTCGAGCAACAATAACTGCGTTTCGATAATCAGTTATGTATGTTTCAATGTACTTTGTCAAAAACGGAGAAGCACGTAAATTGTCAATCGGAACATCGAAAAACCCCTAAGGATAGTAAACAAATAGATAACATTGTGGATAATTAGTGACAGGCAGTAGTAAAAATAGCTACGAATGGACTCAAAATAAGGACTATGTGGCATCACTCAAATTCACAGAGATATTGAGTGTAAGTCTTTAATAAACCATAAAGTATTAGGAGTGCTGATCTCATCCACTGATTAAAAACACTTGCACTCTTATTTATAACATTTACAACAAAAAAATGAAAACCAATTATTAATAAATTGTAAGTTCAACTATATAATCTAAAACTAGAAGTATCATGAAAAGTTCCAACCGAACTTTAATCTTTTTGATAGTTAAATGGAGCCTGTATGTTGTCCAGGAATTCTTAGTATTACGAGGAACAGGATTACACCTCATGATGGGTTAGCCTGTTCTCTATACGTTAAGAAGGGATCACCTGTGGTGTCAAACCTTTTATGTGGATACTTCTTACACTGTATATTGAGGTTTAAAAGATAATTATGGTGTTTGTCAGACACTAAAAATAAGCTTTAGCGTCGGTATGGATACAAGTTTGCGTGTTAGATATGCCTAAATCAGTTGAATATTTTGAAGTAATCCATTAATCCTTTATTGCGTGGACACTCCTGGAGTACCTGACAGCTAGGCCACTCATTCGAAAAATAGTTATGTTGCACGTAAATTCCAAATAAACATATCCCAATGACTCAGTAACCATAGTCGATTGTGGTCGGAGGAAAACTCACCTATTAAGATGGTGGGGATTTGTAGCTCAAGTGGGTGATTTTGATGGAAGTTTGTGCTGATGATGTCATTCAGAAGAACGACGGAAGCTCCACGACCGAACCATCCAGCTTAGAGCACGAAATTCCATCAAAACCTACCTATTAATAAAACACCTAGTAAACCATTCTAATAAATGACAACACCAACACTGACATACTCTTGAAACCTGAAACACTATTTCAAAACTGTAAAACCCAATGATCAGTCAAGCTTTTATCTGAATCTCTTTTGAATGAAGGTCCAAAGTGATCAAATGGTTGATTCCTGAAGCGCAGAGCATTTTGGCTACAAGTTTACTGGTGATAGGGCCACGCTTTCTTCTTTTGCTCTGTGTTGAGTAAGGTAAGTACGGCACTACTGCAATGACTTTACGAGCGCAAGCTGATCTGCATGCATGAGCAATAATCAATAGCTCCATAATGTCATTGTTGACATCCTTAGTTCCTGATTGTATAATATAGACATCTCGGCCTAAGTACTAGGGAGAAAAAAAAAGAACATTACCCCTGACAGTTTCCTTAATCTCAACATCCGTCTCGCGACTTGATCGAAAAAATACTGAACAGTTCCCAGGACGAACGTCAAGATGGTGACAAACAGCCTTAACTAACTCAGGGTGAGAGTTACCAGCCAGTATAACCATCCCTTTAGATCTTAATAACCCCATACCAACTACGTTGCCACTTCTGTGTACAGAACGACTCACAGGGCGCATACTTCTACAGTACATTTCCGAGTAACACCGAACCCATAAAACCGATATCGAAGGTTGATAGCAAATTGAAGGTCGAACCTTAGTGCTGTTACGAAGGTCGCAGACATCTTCAATATCCAATACCCGTGTGACAAACTAGCATGAGCACTTAAATTCTTTACATTACTATCTCCGTTATTCAAGGTTTGGGCAATATTCAACTATATTGAAGCAACTTTACACCTATAGTTCAGCTGAGATGAGTAATTATTATACCTATTTTAAAGATATGGCTTCTCAGTAACAATTAATCATGTGAAAAATTGTGAAGGTTCGAACAAGTTTCCAAAATGAGTAGTTTCGTGACTTATCGACACTGATATTTACAACATTAGTTTCACCGTGCACAGGCCTAGTTGAAGGCACAAGATCAAGCATTTGTACCAATTCACGATGACATGGTAGGTACGCAGAGCTGTGTCTTGAGTACAAGTTACATGTATTATAAAGTGGGTTGAGACTCATAATTTTTCATCCGTGAGCAGTTCTTTCGCCCATTCATGACAACGTTTAATGGTTCCACTTGCTATATAGTGGAGATGCCACAGGTATTTGGGGTTTGACAACGCTTTAACCAGTAACACAGCATGAGTCGTACCCACCAAGTGAAATCAAAAGACAGAAATGAGGAAGCTCGGAGATATATTTGATAGGCTATCAATTTATCGAGGGTCGTCTGATCTAGTCTGGCTAGCGATTGCAGGGGTTGTTGAGCACGGCGTTCCCACTCGTGATCTGGTGCGGATGCATGATCGAGCGCCTTCAGCTAGGTGAGTCCATTAAAATTAATGTGGCCAGCATCCAATTTCGAAAACTTACAGAGCTATTTATTTTCGGGTTTGTTTACCACTACAGATCACTCTCCCTCCTAGTGGTGTAGTGATGACCCTAAGACGTGGACAGCCAGAAGTTTAAACCGAACGAGATTGTCGTTTGTAAACACTCTTATGATAGCTTGCTGGGTTTAGCAGCGTCTGGTCATCTGCCCTTACTATAAGGGACCATGAAGAACAATATAGTAAAAAACGAAAAAGTACAATGAAAATTTTGGTTCCTCTTAAACTTCATCGTTCTTTTTATCGTCTTTTCCAGCCGTCCTGGAAAAGAAAAAAATATGTAAGTGCATGTCGAAATACGCTCGTACGCGCGTAAAAACATAAAGCAGGAGAAGAAAAGGAAAATAAACTCATGCGCACGTAATAGCGCTAAAAAAGTGTTTTTTATTATGGTTTTTTGGTTTGCTCTTTTTAAAATAGAAATAAAAGTACATAAGCATATTAAAATTGGATTTTTATATTACGTATAGTACAAAGAAAATTCGAGATTATATAAAATGCCAACTAGTATCTTACGTTCAATAATCGTCCAAATGTTCAGGAAATCTTACTCCTCTTTCAGAAAGCCTTGTTTTAAGTTTGTTTTGTGATACTGCCGAAGTATCATCGTGTGTGTTGGCTGTAGGTTGAGGTATTATAAGTGTAGGAGCCGTGTCGTTCGATTGTACAGAAGGAAAATCGACGTGAATAGGATTTCCTTCTAAATGCGAAAGACAGTTGTACCTTTCGAGGTAGCTGTCAACGGGTAACGATCGGGAATGGTTTTTGCATTCAGTCGCCGATAATCACCAGTTGGACGCCAATCGCTGTTGTCCTTTAAGGGGACATGTGAAACAGAGATGCCCATGGGTTGTTTGATGGTCGTACGATTCCTACGTCTATCGTGTGAACGAATTAGTTTTTGGCTAACCTAAGCTTTTGGGAGGCCAGTCGGCGTGCTTTAGAGAATACAGGTGGTCCTGTAGTCGTCATGTGATATGTAACGCTTCTGGTTACACACGGCAACTTCGCTTGCGTTTGCTATATCCCAGAATACTTATCGAGTGGTGGTCGATAGGATGGGTCTATCGTGTGCTTAATTGTGACTGGAGATAATCTGCAACCGGAAAAAGAAGGTACACAAACAAATAAATTAGTGTTTCCATCTACTAGCCTCCGTTCGCGCGTATCGATGATTAGTTGTAGTGTTGTATGAGGTATATACCAATGATTGGCATAGAAACATCTGCAACAACAAAGATCCATATGTAGCGATAGGCTTTCCGTTTGCGCCTGGATGTTTAAAAGGAATTCGTGAAGCCGGCTCTTAGAATTCGTTGGAAGAATGCTGACGTCTGCGCCAGTATCGATGAGGTAGCGAACTCTCGTTGTCACGCCTGTGACGCATGACAGACAGCTATGTTCGCCGGCTACGGTTGCCGGCTTAGAAGTTTCCCTAATTGTTTTTCTTGTCGCACGATTCTGAGCTGGGAAAATCGCGGGTTTTCTGTAATTTCTGGGGGACTTTCCATACTGTTTATGATACCAGTACCAGGCGAGGTTATCCGTCTCCCGTGATCTAGAGACAGATTGCCTACGTGAAGTGCTTCTTCGCGGGGTGTGTGACCGTTTGCGGTCATTACGAAATTTAAGATAACGCGTAGGTGTATGACATAACTCTGTTATGCCATTCTGGGTCGTTTGAGGGTTTTCTTTGACTGAAAAACCTCGGCATTAGAAGATTTCGTGACTTCCAAAATGCGGTTGACAGATGCAGCCAGCTCGTCTAAGGCGTTGTTGTGAAACGAGACAAGCGCAGCTTGCACCTGTCGAGGAAGTTTGGATAAGAAAAGTTGCTTGAATAGGCCATCATCGAAAATTCTTTGGCGGATAGACTCTCTCCTTCTTTGTAACATGTCTGTCGCAGAACCGTGTTGCATTTCGATGTTATTAAGGTGTTGGCCTAACCTTTGTCGATCGGTGAGGTCTCCACGTTTAATGATAAATCGTCTGTCTTGTAGGGTTCTGAAACATCATTAGTAAACATGCTAGGTGTTACGTATCTTTTGAATTCGCGCGGTAGTGCCTTGACTACTGCGAGGTATTGTGCACGTGCCTGTTTATTCATCCAATGAATTATTTATGAATGAATATACTAACCATACGTAATTTTTTAAGTTTTTCGTAGCGGTGCACTAAAAGCGATGAGAACGCAGTGCCTTATACCCTTCGTAACCTTGATGAGGGTTCCAATTATTTTGCACTGCAAATCTTAACAGCAGTTACCCAAATACGCTGCCAAAATAAAATAACTAACGCATACAAGGTAATATTTCCACGGAATTCCTAAACTGATGTAGTACTTTCGTTTATCATGCTCGTGAATAAGCTTTCATTGCTTAATTATCAATTAAAAGTATTGAAAATTATTTTGTTTCACAACCAACGAACCTCTGCGGTTATATCTAGTTATTAATCAGAGTAAATGCTCATATTTTAGGGAAGTTGCTCTATGTGCTTACAAGTGCTCATAACGAAATAAAGCGGACACTTATTTCAAAGTGTCGTGTTGTTACCCTTGAAAGTTATCGGTTTACCTTCCTATAAAACTATGGTAAAGGCAAAAACAACAGTTGTCGAAAACCGGTCATGGATGCATTCTTAGTACTGAGAAAACAAGAACAGCATTCGATGTGGAAAAATAAGCCTACATTTTGTACATGCATTTTGCTACAACCACAGAGGACTCTTTACAGTAGATGAATTTCATATCGCGTCTCCACATTTTCTTGTTATCATAGAAGGTATGAGTGTTACCTAGCTTCCATCGAGGCGATTGTCTATGAGTATGATTAATTACACAGCTAATACTTAGTGATTAATTGAGATCATTTATTAGAGCTTATCTTCTTATGTATGTTAGAAGCATATGACTATGCAGAGGTAAATAAATCCTCGAAATAAACTGTTCTGTGTGTCCTCAACATTGATAATGACCTCATTAGTTTCACTGGATACATCCTAGCTGTAGGCTTTCAGTCACCCATCCACACAAGATCATGAGTGGGTACATAAAATCAAGCTGCGGCCAACTGTAAAGCACTCTTCTTACACAAGATATCCAACAGAGATGCCACGGACATTTAGGATTCGACGACGCTTCAGTCTGTAACATCCTCATAATCGAAAGGACCTCATTTTAGTCATGGTAGAAGTTAGGAATGAAGGAGTTCGAAGGTACATTTGCAAGGTATTCAATATGTTGAGAAGCGTTTGATCTAATCTGTCTAGTTGTTGTGAGGGTTTAGTATCATGGCATATTCAAGGGTGATCCGGTACGGATGTGTAACCAAGTGCCATCCGGTAGCACCAATGACTTCAGCATCAATATCGATAACTTAAATATTTCTTTTGAATTTATTTATTGCTAAACTAGTTTTGTAACTCTTCATATAATTAAGAACATCATCATCGTTTACTTTCTTGTGTCTTTGGTTCATCGTGTTAGGAGATACTTAGTTATCGCTTCTTTAGCAAGAGAAATGCTATTAAACGCTCTTGGAAGTAGTACACGTCTATATTTCTCAATTAGGCCTACATGTTCCCTTCCTTTGAACTCTTCTATTCTTACCAGAAAATCCAGTATCCAATATTACTGTCATGAGCTTGTATAAACCGACCGATTCCTCTGATCTCGCTTCTTGTTATTTCGGTACAGCTACAAGTGTAATGTAGGAGCACGGATTTGCCATACCGAATGAGAATATCGAGAGCACAGAGTAATCATTTTCTCACAGTCATAAGGTAGGTATATACTCTGAACCTAATAAATTTGATGATAACACCATTACTACCGTTATTCACGTTTTTATCCATTAATGTTTGTTTTCACTTTTTCTATAACGAATGTATCTTATTATGCGTCAATATTTATAACAGTAAATCACGTATCATGTCACGGTTTGGTCCTACGAACTAGCATGCCTCTTGTAAACATAGAGCGGGATAACTGATAAATCATTGAAGTCCTTCCCAAGAGTATCAGGAAAGTTTTCGTGAGTTCCATGTAATTCGAGAAAACGTAACCTTAAATATACAAGACGTTTCTCCTATTGCAACTTTATACCATGGCTCTACCGTTAGTTTAGTTATCTAGGATTG